TAAGGGTAATGGTCATACACACTCTTACAGTAAAGGAGTAAAGGTGGGTAAAGGTCAAAAACAGTCGAAGAGAAAAAGAGTAAAGGTGGGTAAACCTAGGTAAAGGTCAAAAACACTTTCAGAGTGATAGAGTAAAGGTGAGTAAAGGTGGGTAATGCAGCTTTTGCTGGGTAATAGAGAGTAAGGGGTGAAGTGTAAGGGTAATGGTCATACACACTCTTACAGTAAAGGAGTAAAGGTGGGTAAAGGTCAAAAACAGTCGAAGAGAAAAAGAGTAAAGGTGGGTAAACCTAGGTAGCTACCATTCTTTTCATAGGAGTAAACGTGTGTAAGCTTCGTTACTAAATATAGATGTCTTTGTTCTTTAAGAAATTCTTTTCATTGGTCAGTTAATTTAAGTAATGAATTTGATTGGATCAATGTTTGGAAATTTCACAGCTACTCTTCAATTCACAGTCATTTTAGTGTGAGCTATAGTAGTGATATAATATATAATATTTCATTAGGAATTTATACAAACTGTAAGTTCAGTTACATTTAAACTTATATTTTCTAGTTTTCTCTATTAATATGTAACAAATAGCTTTTACCTAATTTCATAAATTAATCTTTTCTTCATTTCATAATTTATTGTAAAAAAAAGGGTTCAAATATTTTATATTTCATGCACTAACTTCATTACCTTTTCTTTTAAACTGCTTCTGTTGTAACTGATATCTGTACCCTATATCTATATGCGTAGAAACTTTACTGTAACTGTTCATTACATTGATAGAAAAACCTGGACATAGCGGTATAGGTCAGAAATAGTGAGAGTACAGGAGTAAAGGTTGGATGAATTTTGGTTTTTTGGGTATTATATACTCAGGGGTGAAGTGTAAGGGTAAAGGTCAGAAATAGTCTTAGAGCAAAGGAGTACAGTTTCAGGGTAATGGGGGTTTTCTTGTGGAATAGATAGTAAGGGGTGAGGTGTAAAGGTAGTCAGAAATAGTCTTACAGTAAAGGTTGGGTGAAGGAGGTTTTGTCGGGTAAAAGGTAGTGAGGGCTCAAGTGTAAGGGTAAAGGTCAGAAATAATGTTCGACTAAAGGAGTTAAGCTTAGCTTTAGTTGGTTAATAGATAGTAAGGGGAGAAGTGTTAGGGTAAAGGCCATAAATAGTCATACAGTTAAGACAGAAATAGTGTAAGAGTAAAGGTTGGGGGGGGGTAATGGAGGTTTTGTTGGGTAATATATAGTAAGGGGTGAAGTGTAAGGGTAAAGGTTAATGCAACATACATAAACTCAAAGTAAACCAGTAAATGGTTGGGGTAATGGACCTTTTGATGGGTAATAGAAAGGGGTGAAGTGTAAGGGTAAACTTACATGCCTGATATGTTTTCAGAGTAAAAGAATTAAGGCTGCATTACCCACCTTTACTCCTTTACTGTAAGAGTGTGTATGACCATTACCCTTACACTTCACCCGTTACTCTCTATTACCCAGCAAAACCTGCATTACCCACCTTTACTCTATCACTCTGAAAGTGTTTTTGACCTTTACCCAGGTTTACCCACCTTTACTCCTTTACTGTAACAGTGTGTATGACCATTACCCTTACACTTCACCCGTTACTCTCTATTACCCAGCAAAACCTGCATTACCCACCTTTACTCTATCACTCTGAAAGTGTTTTTGACCTTTACCCAGGTTTACCCACCTTTACTCCTTTACTGTAACAGTGTGTATGACCATTACCCTTACACTTCACCCGTTACTCTCTATTACCCAGCAAAACCTGCATTACCCACCTTTACTCCTTTACTGTAAGAGTGTGTATGACCATTACCCTTACACTTCACCCGTTACTCTCTATTACCCAGCAAAACCTGCATTACCCACCTTTACTCTATCACTCTGAAAGTTATCACTCTGTTTTTGACCTTTACCCAGGTTTACCCACCTTTACTCCTTTACTGTAACAGTGTGTATGACCATTACCCTTACACTTCACCCGTTACTCTCTATTACCCAGCAAAACCTGCATTACCCACCTTTACTCTATCACTCTGAAAGTGTTTTTGACCTTTACCCAGGTTTACCCACCTTTACTCCTTTACTGTAACAGTGTGTATGACCATTACCCTTACACTTCACCCGTTACTCTCTATTACCCAGCAAAACCTGCATTACCCACCTTTACTCTATCACTCTGAAAGTGTTTTTGACCTTTACCCAGGTTTACCCACCTTTACTCCTTTACAGATATTGGTGCTTTATAGAAAGTATGTCCTGAAGTGTAACCTTTCAAGAATTGCGCTTATTGCTACCATTCTTTTCATAGGAGTAAACGTGTGTAAGCTACGTTACTAAATATAGATGTCATTGTTCTTTAAGAATTTTAATTATTGGTCACTTAATCCAGGAAATGAATTTCATTAGATCAAAGTTCGGTGAATAAACTGCTAGTCTTCAACTCACAATCATTTAGTGTGCGTTCTTGTAGTGATCAGTAGATTAGAGGATTTATTAATATTTCATTAGGACTTTATACAAATTGTAAGTTCAATTACATTTCAACTTATATTTTCTTCTATTCTCTATTAATATATAACGAAATGCCTTTTACCTACATTCAAAAATTAATCTTTTATTCATGTATTTTATTGTAAAAAAATTGTAGACACTTTTCAAACTAATAGAGTTATGTTTAAGGCCGTAGAACATAAATGTTCATATAAATAGAAAAGATATCTCTTTTTTCTTCAGCAGAAAACATGTCTTTGGCAGACGACCAAGACTATGTCACAAAGATCGTTGAAAAAACGGAGCGGTTTGTGGTCGCAGAAATGGCTAAAATTAAGAATGACGTCACCTTAATTAAGAACACGCAATCTGAAAGTAAAGCCAAGATTGCCAATTTGCAAAGTGAAAATCAGCAACTAAAGGCTGAAAATGAGACACTGAAAAATCAGGTACATACTTTATCACGAGAAGTGGAAAATATCCGTAAACACTCGGGTGAACAACTTTTGAAAACTCTGGAAGACTCTTTTAGGGCTGGGTTGATGACTGTCCTACGGGCGTCAAAAGATGTTGACATGGACATTACGCCAGTTCTTCAAGCCATGGACTTGCCCATGGCGGCTAGTACACCACAGACTTCAGATGTGCCCAGTCAGGAGTTTCAGTCACCAGTTTTTCCAAATCGCCTGTCTTTGTACTCGAGAAAAAGAAAAAGTAAAACTTCTGCAGCACCTGTGTAAGTCTCTATACATATTTTTCAACTGCTCTACTAAGGTATCCTGTCCGGGCCAATTTAGATAACAAGATAATTCTCCAGTCCTGTTCTGTCTTCGAAATGTCGAATTTTTATTGCTCTTATGTCGCTATGTCGTATTGTCGACTTTTCGTAGTCGTACTCAAAACTTTTACTGGTCGTTATGTGTCCAATGTTCTATGTCATAATGTCGACTTCTCGTTGTCCAAATTTAAACGCATTGTTGCCGTAACGTACTTCATTAATAGTTGTCGATTTAGAGACTCATGTTTGTAGTAATGTAGACTTTTCGCTGTCTTAATGCCAGTATTATAACTCAAACATACAAAGATAACGAAAAGTCGTCAATACGACAACAATAAGTGAAATTGTGACATTACAACAACGATAAGCGTACATAAAAATTAAGAAAAAACCGATAAAAATTGCGTTATGTCGACTTTTCGTTTTCGCAATGTACACTTTTCGCTTTGATACTGTTGCATAGTCTATATTGGGTTAAGTCGTTATCTTGACTTTCAGTTGTAGTAATGTAATGTTGTCGCGTTCTTTATGATGTTGTAATCCATTCAGAACATGCTTTAACTTCATCTCATCATGCCCATACTTACGTTAAATTTCTATTTCAGAATCATCACAAATATGGACGATCTAAATGATAGGATCAAGGACTACATTTCTCCATATTTTCTTTCGGATGCCATGGCCTCGAATGATAAACTGAACAATATACAAAGGGCTTTTGTCAAGGCAAAAGCTAACGAAGTCGTAACTACGAGAGGTCCTATTAACACGTCATTCATTAGACAAGTAATATCCGAAGGAGAAGAGGAACACATATGGCCAAGTGATTTCTGTCCGTCTCCCGACATAGATTTTGAAAAATATATGTTATATCGAATCAAAAATGAAAAAAAGTCAATTCAGCGTAAGCAAGCCATCGCTTCTCATCAAGATAGGATGATGGGATATCTTGAAGAGACCTTGAGTACAACTAGCAATACCGTTCACGAGGGAGATTAGTATTCTACGGAATTCTTACAATATGTTATGTTAGACATTTTATTTACTGATGATTCTATGTGATTCCATTTGATTAGTTACGGAGTATAATTACATTTGTGATAATCATTTCAAATCGGCCACAGTGGGAAAGTGCAATAGTTAATTTTTTCAGTGATTCAATTTGATTCGTAGTGTTACCAATCAGTCACAATTATTTTTAATCGGCCAATTGGGTTATGTGCAATAATAGGCCCTTTGACAGACAGGACTGTTGGCCTTTGGGCAATGTGCAATATGTTAAGGCTACTTTGGGCAGAAATGACTGTCGGCCGACTTGTGATTATATCGTGATTAAATGTGATTTCTTTTCTGTTTTACCAATCATATGACAATCATTTCCAATCAATTTTTTCCTCCGCCTGTCTGACGGGGTCATCGTCCCGCGGAGGTGAACATTGACAGCCAGTAAATTTCATAGCACCATTTACTTGCTGTCAATGGCCAACGGTCAGACATCTAAAACCCTAGGCACTACAAGTAAGAAAATCAGAATGTCACATAGGGGTAGTTCTCTCTACAATCTTGATAATTTATGCTTGAAAGCTTTAAAGGTTCTAAACGACACGCCGTTATCCATACATTTCTGCTTGAAGGACTCGTACAAGGAACTAATAGGAACAGTATTTCAGTCAATTACGGAAGTCTCAGTAAGGATTTAAAGGAACTCACAACAATGATGTATTAAACACATTTTTATATGAAAATTGCTGTCTTACGTCATATTCAATTATTAATCATGACATTATTAATAAAGATATTTTTGTAAATTATATCTAATATTTTACGCAAGAGTCCCCTCTAAATATAAAACAAATAATATTAAATATTCGTCAGTCCGTCTGTTCAGGAAAGGGCGAAGAAAATGGCACATTTTATATATAATATAGCGCATTCTATATATAGTACATTGGTATCATGTGACTATATTCATATTTGTCATGTGACAATTTCAGCCAATCAGATTGCTCCGGGCCCATCTCCAGCGACCCATCTCGCCAAAATGCCTATACCCTAACCTATATATTATCCATGTCTTTCTCAACACGTTGTAACTTCCGACGAAATGCCTCTTTCCCGTGAAAAGGTATATTCTCTTTCAGGCATTCTGCCTTATACAATTCGTAAACTTCATCGTGCTTTCTTTTCTTTCCCGTCACCTTGTACAAAATTTCAATTTCCTCACTGTCCCACTTCAATTTACTTTTTGTCAATGGTAGACACGTCGGCAGGCGAGGTTGAATCCTCTCGTTTTTCTCTTCTTCCGCATCATCAGATATCCGTAAAGTATTAACGCTCTCTACTTGTACAGTTTCCGATACAGTTTCCTCTTTTCGGGGTTGCTGCTCTTTTGGAGTACTTGCATTGTTTTCTGACCCCTTCGTGACAATACGTGATGGAATACTGTGATGCAAACGGTACAGCTGTATCTTATTGAACTGTGACAATAACAGTTTACTCTGAATTTCAAGATCTTTAAGTCTGTGTTGCTTCATTGGCAAATCATTACATAACGCCTCCAATTGATTGTAGTCAACGAACCACCCACTCATCATTAAGGCTATACACGAAACAAAGCTTAACACGCAGAGGAGTTGATCATTATTTAGCTTCTCGTGCGATAACTTTCTAACACATGAGGCTATCCAAGGAAACCTGCTTGGAGCTGACTTTAGCTTGCTTGCATACACTAGTCTGCGCATCTCCAGGTCTGTTACGATCAATTTGGTTAGCGTAATAGGACATTGCACCAGTTCACCAGACGTTTCTTCATTATAGAATATTTTCCACAGACCATAACGTTTGTCCCAAGACAGAATTGCATTACCATGGACGTCATACAGTTTCAATACTGGAAAGTGCTTAAGACGCAAGTCCTTTAAACCTTCAACAATCACTTCAGCTAGATCAGACTTTGAGTTACGAATCAGTTTACACTGATAGCCAAATACCATATGCGTACCAACTCTTCTATTTGCACTTAGCACATCAGATAGCCGCTTTAATGTTACACCACCACTAACGCGAAACATTGTTGGTTGTTCAATGAATAGCTCCTGTTTAAATTCTTCAATTCTACAAGGCAATTTAGCATCCTCATACATATCCATTATCAAGCTGTGTACCAATCGCCTACCAACAACGAAGGGACAACTTCCTAACACATCGTGCAGGCCAGCTGATCGTCTTATCATTCTTTGCATAAGTGCAGACTGACTCCATAGACAGCATGGAGGAATGCTGTATTCAGTTGCCATACACGCTGTCCAACGTTCTAACGCTAAAAAGCCTTTCTGATCTGTTAAACTTCTACTTTCTTCAAGTCGCCCTGGTCCAAGATTTACCGAGAGCAAATGGCTAACACTTGAGAATGGAGTTCCCCATAACATTTTTTCCGCTGCAAGTTCCAACTGATACGCTCTCCACATTGCTTCTATATTTCCTGTTCCGGAGTAGTTGTCCAGAAGACTTTTCAACTTAGTAACTATATAGTGACCTACATGGTTTACAGCTCTTACCATTCCTATGTCAAAAGGCACTATCAGTGGGTACTTTTTCAAAAGTGAAACCACATTCTGCACGTTTATGAAGTCCGTGGCATGTATGGCATCTTTCACTTCTTTTACTGTGTGGACAACCTCCAAACGGCATGAGCTTTTCTCTAGAAAACAGAAATTACTCTCCAATGTGGAAATATACCTGCCAGCATCTCCTTTGAATGCTGAATACGTTTCTTTATGAAACACTAGTCCACCGGCAATACAACCCGACACCGGATGAAACCTTGATTTAGGTTTACGATGCGGTACATCGACGTACAACTGCATGAATCTTATATCTCCTGACGTGTTATGGCATACCTCTTTTAAATCTTTACAAATATCCATCATTTTCCCATCAAGGTTGCTCTGAAAATTTCCACAGTCTCTAAAAGATAAACATGTTGACAGGGTGCCCCTATTACCAACAATGCCCTGCAATCCGGACATGGACCACATTAACTCAAATGTGTCACTGTATATATCAACAGCAGAGTGCACTGTCACTTCTTTTACTTCAGACAAATTAAAAACATTTAGATTAATCCCATTTCTCGATTTCTCGCCGAATCGGAAACAAAATAGTACCCTTTCAAACTCTTCTGGCAACTTAGTCTCGTCGATGGCTTCTTGTAAGATAACAAATATGCGGTCTTTATCATCGGGCAACACGGAAAAGTTACGTACATCATTCATATCGTTCTTAGCTAATGTTCTCATCAATGTAGATTTCTGTGCAAATAATTTCTTTTGAAAATATACCCTCACTGTTTTGAAGTAAGTACTTCCTATTTCTGATACAATTTTAGCATTAAATTTATGTTTACATTTACTTGGACTGGGTATAATGCCGATCCAACCTTCCCACCCATATTCGTAAAACAACTGGAATCCTACACTGTGACTAAAGCATGGCAAAACATCTCTAGTGTACTTTGTCAAGTTCACGTGTTTCTTTAAGAAAGTCCTAATCATACGGCAATGATCTCTGTGAAAAACTGTCAAGTGGCGAACAGGCATTTTTATACCTATAAACGAGTTTAATTCTACAACGCAACCATCTACATCAGTCTCATACTTAAAAAATACATCACTATCAGCTTGTTCAACGCATACGCTACGTGCGTATATCACTTTACCTCTATTCAAAAATGACATTAAACTATTGTGCTCGTACAAAGAATTTAAGAAGTTGTTATTCTCTTCTGCAACCGTTACAAAATCATCTTCTTCAATTTCAATCTCATCCATACCTGAAAGAGAAAAACAAAGTGTAGTCAAAATATAGAAAACATTCAGGAAAATCAAAAAGATTATGTTACATTCACTTAGATTATTTCGATAGTCGAAGGTTATGCTAGATTAGGGGTAAAGTGTAGTAGAAATGAAAAAAGTTATGTCGGGTTGTCTTAGATTATGTGGATAGTAGAAAGTTATGCTAAGTTAGGGGTTGAGTGTAGTCGATAGGTAGAGTGTTACCTATTATTAAAGGGGTTAGTAAAGGGGGTAATCGACTGGGTAATACAGGGTAATAGGATTTTTGGAAAAATATAAAAGTGGGTAATAGAAGAGTAATAGACTGGGTAATAGAGTAATAGAGGGTTATGGTGAGTAAAGGGTTAAGAGTAATAGAAAATATAAAAGTAGTGGGTAATAGAAGAGTAATAGACTGGGTAATAGAGTAATAGAGGGTTATGGTGAGTAAAGGGTTAAGAGTAATAGACTGAGTAATAGAGTAATAGAGGGTTATGGTGAGTAAAGGGTTAAGAGTAATAGACTGAGTAATAGAGTAATAGAGGGTTATGGTGAGTAAGAGTAAGAGGGATAGAAAATATAAAAGTAGTGGGTAATAGAAGAGTAATAGACTGTGTAATAGAGTAATAGAGGGTTATGGTGAGTAAAGGGTTAAGAGTAATAGAAAATATAAAAGTAGTGGGTAATAGAAGAGTAATAGACTGGGTTATAGAGTAATAGAGGGTTATGGTGAGTAAAGAGTTAAGAGTAATAGACTGAGTAATAAAGTAATAGAGGGTTATGGTGAGTAAGGGGTTAAGAGTAATAGAAAATATCGAAGTGGGTAATAGACTGGGTAATAGAGGGTAATAGGATTTTTGGAAAAATATAAAAGTGGATAATAGACTAGGTAATAGAAAATATGATAGTGGGTAATAGACTGGGTAATAGAGTAATAGAGGGTTATGGTGAGTAAAGGGTTAAAAGTATCGGTTATGGTAATAAACTGGTTAATAGGTTTTGGAAAAATATCAAGGTTGGTAATAGGAGAGTAATACCCTTGTTAATAGAGTAACAGAGGTTATGATGAGTAACGGATTAAGGATAAAGGGTATGGTAATAGACTTGGTTATAGACGTTTTGGAGAAATATCACAGTGGGTAATAGGAGAGTAACAGACTGGGTAATACAGTACTAGATGGTGAGTAAGCGGTTGAGAGTAAAGGTAACCGTAATAGACTTCGTAATAGAGGTTTTGCGAAGATATAAAACTGGGTAATAGGAGAGTAATAGATTGGGTAATAGAGTAATAGACGGTTATGATCAGTAAGTTGTTAAGTGTAAGGGTTACAGTAATAGACTGTGTTATGCAAGATTTGTAAAAATATAATAGTGGGTAATTGGACAGCAATACACTGTGTAATAAAGTAACAAAGGATTATGGTGAGTAAGGGATTAATAGTAATGGTTACGGTAATGGAGGGTAATACACTGTGTAATGAGTTTTGTAAAAATATAACCGGTTAAGAGTAAAAGTAACGGTAATACACCTGGTAAAAAAGGTTTTGGAAAGATATAAAAGTGGGTAATAGGACAGTAATAGACGGGTAATAAAGTAATACAGGGTTATGCTGAGTAACGCGGGTTAAGAGTAAGGGTTACGGTTATAGTGGGTAATAGACTGGGTAATAATAGTTTTGTAAAATATAAAAGTGGGAATAGGAGGGTAATAGACTGGGTAATAGTGTAGTACAGGGTTATGGTGAGTAAGGGGTTAAGAGTAAGGTTTGCGGTAGTACACTGTGTAATACAAGTCATAAAGGAAGCATGTGACATCTAGATTTTGTTTATTCAAAAAACACATTTCATACTCAAGTTCAATGTACTGTCTTATTCTCTAAGTGCGATAGCCGACTGGTGACCTCTCTCAGTGCCAATATGAGATCTCCCCTCACGTGCTGTAGCTGTCTTGCTGTTTTAGGTACATCGTCGTGCTGATAGATTAGAGCTTCACCAATAGCGTCAAACAATAACCTCTTAAATCTGCATGATCGTTTGCAGCAAACGCAAGGTTTGCACACCATTAAACAAGACATGTCCATTTCTTCTAATGGAAAGTCCATTTCTTCATCACGCATAGGTAATTGGCACACCTCGCAAGTACTTGGACCGCAGAAAACTCTTTCACATGTTACGGAGCTAGGCGGTTCAATTACTGCACCTCTCATTGGTGATGAGTTGCATTTCTGGAACAAGGGCATTCCTCCGTCAGCCATAGGTAACTGGCACACTTCGCACATACTGGGACCACCGCACAAACTTTCACATGTTACGGGGCTAGGTTCCCCATATATTGCTTTCTTCACCGGTGATAAGTGACCTCTCTTGAACATATAAGCAATGTCAACCTCATCTAAAGCCGTTCCAAGGCATTCATCCAACAAAGATCGAATAAGCATCTCGTTTGAAGATGACATGGTTAGCTGTAAAATATTAAATTAAGGTCGGTAATTAAAAGTCTAGTGGCCAACAATAACAAAAAAGTAGGTACAACACGGCTCAAAGCTAAATATCATACAGGATAATCTGAGTACTCATAGGAGAAATGTCCGTTATTGTAAGTAAACTTCATATGGTTCAGGGTAATAGAAAATATGAAAGTGAGTAATAGACTGGGTAATAGACTGGGTAATAGAGGGTAATAGAAAATATGAAAGTGGGTAATAGACTGGGTAATAGAGTCATAGAGGGTTATGGTGAGTAAAGGGTTAAGAGTAATAGAAAATATCAAAGGGGGTAATAGACTGGGTAATAGAGGGTAATAGGATTTTTGGAAAAATATAAAAGTGGGTAATAGACAGGGTAATAGACTGGGTAATAGAGTAATAGAGAGTTATGGTGAGTAAAGGGTTAAGAGTAATAGACTGAGTAATAGAGTAATAGAGGGTTATGGTGAGTAAGGGGTTAAGAGTAATACAAATATCAAAGCGGGTAATAGACTGAGTAATAGAGGGTAATAGGATTTTTGGAAAAATATAAAAGTGGGTAATAGACTGGGTAATAGACTGGGTAATAGAGGGTAATAGAAAATATGAAAGTGGGTAATAGACTGGGTAATAGAGTCATAGAGGATTATGGTGAGTAAAGGGTTAAGAGTAATAGACTGTGTAATAGAAAATGTCAAAGTGGGCAATAGACTGAGTAATAGAGGGTATACTGGGTGATATTTAATTATTAATTATGACATTATTAATAAAGATATTTTTATAAGTGATATCACATATTGTACTAGGTAATGCAGGTTTTGCTCGGTAATAGAGAGTAACGGGTGAAGTGTAAGGGTAATGGTCATACACACTCTTACAGTAAAGGAGTAAAGGTGGGTAAACCTGGGTAAAGGTCAAAAACAGTCGAAGAGAAAGAGAGTAAAGGTGGGTAAACCTAGGTAAAGGTCAAAAACACTTTCAGAGTGATAGAGTAAAGGTGGGTAATGCAGGTTTTGCTCGGTAATAGAGAGTAAGGGGTGAAGTGTAAGGGTAATGGTCATACACACTCTTACAGTAAAGGAGTAAAGGTGGGTAAACCTGGGTAAAGGTCAAAAACACTTTCAGAGTGATAGAGTAAAGGTAGGTAATGCAGGTTTTGCTGGGTAATAGAGAGTAACGGGTGAAGTGTAAGGGTAATGGTCATACACACTCTTACAGTAAAGGAGTAAAGGTGGGTAAACCTGGGTAAAGGTCAAAAACAGTCGAAGAGAAAGAGAGTAAAGGTGGGTAAACCTGGGTAAAGGTCAAAAACAGTCGAAGAGAAAGAGAGTAAAGGTGGGTAAACCTAGGTAAAGGTCAAAAACACTTTCAGAGTGATAGAGTAAAGGTGGGTAATGCAGGTTTTGCTCGGTAATAGAGAGTAAGGGGTGAAGTGTAAGGGTAATGGTCATACACACTGTTACAGTAAAGGAGTAAAGGTGGGTAAACCTGGGTAAAGGTCAAAAACACTTTCAGAGTGATAGAGTAAAGGTAGGTAATGCAGGTTTTGCTGGGTAATAGAGAGTAACGGGTGAAGTGTAAGGGTAATGGTCATACACACTCTTACAGTAAAGGAGTAAAGGTGGGTAAACCTGGGAAAAATATAAAAGTGGGTAATAGACTGGGTAATAGAGGGTAATAGAAAATATGAAAGTGGGTAATAGACTGGGTAATAGAGTCATAGAGGATTATGGTGAGTAAAGGGTTAAGAGTAATAGACTGTGTAATAGAAAATGTCAAAGTGGGCAATAGACTGAGTAATAGACGGTTATAGGATTTTTGGAAAAATATAAAAGTGGGTAATAGACTGGGTAATAGACTGGGTAATAGAGTAATAGAGGGTTATGGTGAGTAAAGGGTTAAAAGTAATAGACTGAGTAATAGAGTAATAGAGGGTTATGGTGAGTAAGGGTTAAGAGTAATAGAAAATATCAAAGTGGGTAATAGACTGAGTAATAGAGGGTAATAGGATTTTTGGAAAAATATAAAAGTGAATAATAGACTGGGTAATAGACTGGGTAATAGAGTAATAGAGGGTTATGGTGAGTAAGGGGTTAAGAGTAATAGAGTGGGTAATAGAAAATATGAAAGTGGGTAATAGACTGGGTGATAGACTTGGTAATAAGATTTTTGCAAAAATATAAAAGTGGGTAATGGAAGAGTAATAGACTGGGTAATAGAGTAATAGAGGGTTATGGTGAGTAAGGGGTTAAGAGTAATAGAGTGGGGAATAGAAAATATGAAAGTGAGTAATAGACTAGGTACTAGACTGGGTAATAGAGTAATAGAGGGTTATGGTGAGTAAGGGGTTTAGAGTAATAGACTGGGTAATAGACTGGGCAATAACATTTTTGCAAAAATATAAAAGTGGGTAATACACTGGGTAATAGACTGGGTAATAGAGTAATAGAGGGTTATGGTGAGTAAGGGATTAAGATTAATAGAGTTGGTAATACACTGGGTGATGGAAAGTATGCTTTGTTACTAAAAATATATTCTATGTTCTAATTCGCGGTAATGATGAGTAAGGGGTAATAGGTAAGGTACTAGGTAAGGTAGGTAAGGTAGTGAGTAAGGTACTAGGTAGGTTAACCCAGTAAGGATATGCTTCCAATTCGCGGTTAGGATGAGTAAGGGGTAATAGGTAAGGTACTGGGTAAGGTGGGTAAGCTATGAAGGTTTCCTATAGTAAGCATTGTTACTAAAAATAGATTCTTTGTTCTAATTGGCGCCAAATATAATAGTTATATTAATGCATCTTCCTTAGCTTTAGGGGTTGGGTGTAGTCTCAAATCCAAAGGTTGTCTTGGGTTGTCTTAGGTTATATAGATACTCGGTAACATATTATATATTGTTATAGAAGGATAGGGTTAGTTAGCTTTGTTACTAAAAATAGATATCTTTGTTCTTTTTTCCAGCCCTTTTGTCTATATACATTTCTATATAGGACACCATTGCGACGCCATTTTTACATTTTCCATACAAGAAATGGCATCAAGCAATAAAATAACAGATCAAATATCAATTATTATTATAATTATCATGAACAGTATTATTAACTATTGTCTTCAATATAATAATTTTCAATTATGAAATGTAAACTATGAAAAACAAATTCAACCATTAAATATTCATTCATCAAAAATAAAATAACACATACCTTTTTTCTTAATTCCTTTGCGAACAATAAAATCCAAATCTTAAAACACAATACACAATAAACACTGCACAATTGTCAAAGTAATAAGTCAATATTTATCAAACAATTTAACACACAAAGAATGCACTGTTCACAATGGTGTCCAAACTCAAAATGGCGCTCTGAAAATAATTTATGAACATGTGCCCGGATGTATTTTCAAGTCACGTGATCTAATCAATATGCATCATATAATACATTTCTATTGAAAATAGCTGTTTTAGGTCATATTTAATTATTAATTATGACATTATTAATAAAGATATTTTTATAAGTGATATCACATATTGTACTAGGTAATGCAGGTTTTGCTCGGTAATAGAGAGTAAGGGGTGAAGTGTAAGGGTAATGGTCATACACACTGTTACAGTAAAGGAGTAAAGGTGGGTAAACCTGGGTAAAGGTCAAAAACAGTCGAAGAGAAAAGAGAGTAAAGGTGGGTAAACCTAGTAAAGAGGTGCAAAAAACACTTTCAGAGTGAAAGGAGTAAAGGTGGGTAAACCTGGGTAAAGGTCAAAAACAGTCGAAGAGAAAGAGAGTAAAGGTGGGTAAACCTAGGTAAAGGTCAAAAACACTTTCAGAGTGATAGAGTAAAGGTGGGTAATGCAGCTTTTGCTCGGTAATAGAGAGTAAGGGGTGAAGTGTAAGGGTAATGGTCATACACACTCTTACAGTAAAGGAGTAAAGGTGGGTAAACCTGGGTAAAGGTCAAAAACACTTTCAGAGTGATAGAGTAAAGGTAGGTAATGCAGGTTTTGCTGGGTAATAGAGAGTAAGGGGTGAAGTGTAAGGGTAATGGTCATACACACTCTTACAGTAAAGGAGTAAAGGTGGGTAAACCTGGGTAAAGGTCAAAAACAGTCGAAGAGAAAGAGAGTAAAGGTGGGTAAACCTGGGTAAAGGTCAAAAAAGAGAAGAGAGAAGTCGAAAACAGTAGAGAAAGAGAGTAAAGGTGGGTAAACCTAGGTAAAGGTCAAAAACACTTTCAGAGTGATAGAGTAAAGGTGGGTAATGCAGGTTTTGCTCGGTAATAGAGAGTAAGGGGTGAAGTGTAAGGGTAATGGTCATACACACTGTTACAGTAAAGGAGTAAAGGTGGGTAAACCTGGGTAAAGGTCAAAAACACTTTCAGAGTGATAGAGTAAAGGTAGGTAATGCAGGTTTTGCTGGGTAATAGAGAGTAACGGGTGAAGTGTAAGGGTAATGGTCATACACACTCTTACAGTAAAGGAGTAAAGGTGGGTAAACCTGGGAAAAATATAAAAGTGGGTAATAGACTGGGTAATAGACTGGGTAATAGAGGGTAATAGAAAATATGAAAGTGGGTAATAGACTGGGTAATAGAGTCATAGAGGATTATGGTGAGTAAAGGGTTTAAGAGTAATAGACTGTGTAATAGAAAATGTCAAAGTGGGCAATAGACTGAGTAATAGAGGGTAATAGGATTTTTGGAAAAATATAAAAGTGGGTAATAGACTGGGTAATAGACTGGGTAATAGAGTAATAGAGGGTTATGGTGAGTAAAGGGTTAAAAGTAATAGACTGAGTAATAGAGTAATAGAGGGTTATGGTGAGTAAGGGGTTAAGAGTAATAGAAAATATCAAAGTGGGTAATAGACTGAGTAATAGAGGGTAATAGGATTTTTGGAAAAATATAAAAGTGAATAATAGACTGGGTAATAGACTGGGTAATAGAGTAATAGAGGGTTATGGTGAGTAAGGGGTTAAGAGTAATAGAGTGGGTAATAGAAAATATGAAAGTGGGTAATAGACTGGGTGATAGACTTGGTAATAAGATTTTTGCAAAAATATAAAAGTGGGTAATGGAAGAGTAATAGACTGGGTAATAGAGTAATAGAGGGTTATGGTGAGTAAGGGGTTAAGAGTAATAGAGTGGGTAATAGAAAATATGAAAGTGAGTAATAGACTGGGTAATAGACTGGGTAATAGAGTAATAGAGGGTTATGGTGAGTAAGGGGTTTAGAGTAATAGACTGGGTAATAGACTGGGCAATAACATTTTTGCAAAAATATAAAAGTGGGTAATACACTGGGTAATAGACTGGGTAATAGAGTAATAGAGGGTTATGGTGAGTAAGGGATTAAGATTAATAGAGTTGGTAATACACTGGGTGATGGAAAGTATGCTTTGTTACTAAAAATATATTCTATGTTCTAATTCGCGGTAATGATGAGTAAGGGGTAATAGGTAAGGTACTAGGTAAGGTAGGTAAGGTAGTGAGTAAGGTACTAGGTAGGTTAACCCAGTAAGGATATGCTTCCAATTCGCGGTTAGGATGAGTAAGGGGTAATAGGTAAGGTACTGGGTAAGGTGGGTAAGCTATGAAGGTTTCCTATAGTAAGCATTGTTACTAAAAATAGATTCTTTGTTCTAATTGGCGCCAAATATAATAGTTATATTAATGCATCTTCCTTAGCTTTAGGGGTTGGGTGTAGTCTCAAATCCAAAGGTTGTCTTGGGTTGTCTTAGGTTATATAGATACTCGGTAACATATTATATATTGTTATAGAAGGATAGGGTTAGTTAGCTTTGTTACTAAAAATAGATATCTTTGTTCTTTTTTCCAGCCCTTTTGTCTATATACATTTCTATATAGGACACCATTGCGACGCCATTTTTACATTTTCCATACAAGAAATGGCATCAAGCAATAAAATAACAGATCAAATATCAATTATTATTATAATTATCATGAACAGTATTATTAACTATTGTCTTCAATATAATAATTTTCAATTATGAAATGTAAACTATGAAAAACAAATTCAACCATTAAATATTCATTCATCAAAAATAAAATAACACATACCTTTTTTCTTAATTCCTTTGCAAACAATAAAAATCCAAATCTTAAAACACAATACACAATAAACACTGCACAATTGTCAAAGTAATAAGTCAATATTTATCAAACAATTTAACACACAAAGAATGCACTGTTCACAATGGTGTCCAAACTCAAAATGGCGCTCTGAAAATAATTTATGAACAAGTGCCCGGATGTATTTTCAAGTCACGTGATCTAATCAATATGCATCATATAATACATTTCTATTGAAAATAGCTGTTTTAGGTCATATTTAATTATTAATTATGACATTATTAATAAAGATATTTTTATAAGTGATATCACATATTGTACTAGGTAATGCAGGTTTTGCTCGGTAATAGAGAGTAAGGGGTGAAGTGTAAGGGTAATGGTCATACACACTCTTACAGTAAAGGAGTAAAGGTGGGTAAACCTGGGTAAAGGTCAAAACAGTCGAAGAGAAAGAGAGTAAAGGTGGGTAAACCTAGGTAAAGGTCAAAAACACTTTCAGAGTGATAGAGTAAAGGTGGGTAATGCAGGTTTTGCTCGGTAATAGAGAGTAAGGGGTGAAGTGTAAGGGTAATGGTCATACACACTGTTACAGTAAAGGAGTAAAGGTGGGTAAACCTGGGTAAAGGTCAAAAACACTTTCAGAGTGATAGAGTAAAGGTAGGTAATGCAGGTTTTGCTGGGTAATAGAGAGTAAGGGGTGAAGTGTAAGGGTAATGGTCATACACACTCTTACAGTAAAGGAGTAAAGGTGGGTAAACCTGGGTAAAGGTCAAAAACAGTCGAAGAGAAAGAGAGTAAAGGTGGGTAAACCTGGGTAAAGGTCAAAAACAGTCGAAGACAAAGAGAGTAAAGGTGGGTAAACCTGGGTAAAGGTCAAAAACACTTTCAGAGTGATAGAGTAAAGGTGGGTAATGCAGGTTTTGCTGGGTAATAGAGAGTAAGGGGTGAAGTGTAAGGGTAATGGTCATACACACTCTTACAGTAAAGGAGTAAAGGTGGGTAAACCTGGGTAAAGGTCAAAAACAGTCGAAGAGAAAGAGAGTAAAGGTGGGTAAACCTGGGTAAAGGTCAAAAACAGTCGAAGAGAAAGAGAGTAAAGGTGGGTAAACCTGGGTAAAGGTCAAAAACACTTTCAGAGTGATAGAGTAAAGGTGGGTAATGCAGGTTTTGCTGGGTAATAGAGAGTAAGGGGTGAAGTGTAAGGGTAATGGTCATACACACTCTTACAGTAAAGGAGTAAAGGTGGGTAAACCTGGGTAAAGGTCAAAAACACTTTCAGAGTGATAGAGTAAAGGTAGGTAATGCAGGTTTTGCTGGGTAATAGAGAGTAACGGGTGAAGTGTAAGGGTAATGGTCATACACACTCTTACAGTAAAGGAGTAAAGGTGGGTAAACCTGGGTAAAGGTCAAAAACAGTCGAAGAGAAAAAGAGTGGGTAAACCTAGGTAGCTACCATTCTTTTCATAGGAGTAAACGTGTGTAAGCTTTGTTTCTAAAAATACATTCTTTGTTCTAATTGGCGCCAAAATACTACAGGTCTGTCAGCATGTGTTTAAAGATGACTAGTCTGCTTTTAAAGTTGTACTTTTTCATTTTTTCACAGATTACTAAAGGGTTTACAACCCGGTTCGAGTCCCAGAGACTAGAAATATACACACAACATGCACAGTTGTGTAGGTGCAGATTTTGGCTACAAAAGTATACCATTTTCATGTATCTAGGACGACTACAGGGGTCTCAGCAAGTCTTTGAAGGTGACTTGTCCGGGTTCGAACTTGTATTTAGCCGTTATTTTCATCATTATTAATAGGTTTTTCATAGGTCTGAGCCCCATTAGCCTACATATATATTATTATTATATACTGCCGTGTGTGCACGGATCCTGGCTACAAATTGAGACTATTTTCAGGTGTCTGGGACGACTAAAGGGCTCTCAGCAAGTGTTTGAATGTCACTTGTACGGGTTCGAACTTGTATTTGTCCGTTATTTTCATCATTATTAATAGGTTTTTCATCGGTTCGAGCCCCATTAGCCTACATATATATTATTATTATATAGTGCCATGTAGGCAAGGATCCTGGCTACGATTTGAGACTATTTTCATGTGTCTTGGACGACTACATGACTCTCAGCAAGTGTTTAAAGGTGACTTGTCTGCTTTTCAAGTGGCACTTTTTCATTTTTTCAAAGATTAATAAAGGGTTTACAACCCGGTTCGAGTCCCAGAGACTACATATATACACATAACATGCACGGTTGTGTAGGTGCATATCTTGGCTACAAAATGGGACCATTTTTATATATCTAGGACGACTACAGAGGTCTCAGCAAGTCTTTGAAGGTGACTTGTCCGGGTTCGAACTTGCATTTAA